TAAATTGTCTCTTCTGTCATGCTATTAAGTAAAACAAAATGTTTATCAAATATTAAAATGGAAACCATTTCCTATTGTGTTACTTGTTCTATTTTTCAGAGATTACAAAACATAAATGTGTATGAGATACAACTGCATTTATCATATCTTGAATATGAAGGGTATATGGCCCTTGACCTGTCAATATCGTCCACTCACAGTGTTTATTGTTGGTATTTATCAAATATTCACATTTAAAGAGTAGAATGAGTCCATTTAACTACATGAACGATGTCTGCGGAGTTTTAACAAGTTTTAATTGAGGTTTTTGAACATTGAATGAAAATTGTCAAAGTTCTAAATATTTTGTTTAAAATCCGAACAAAATTAAGACAAGGCATTTCTTTTACTTTTTTTCATAAGTTTTTTCCGTAATAACATAATCTGTTTTGAAAGGGGAAATCTTTTCTGACTGAATTTCAAGAAGTGTTATATAATATAATACGAGTATCACATTACATTACACCGTCCTTCGTCTTTGTATAAAATGGCAAATGATGAAAGTTAAAATTATGCTAATAAGGAGAAAAATAATTTTCACCACTATATCGTATTTATTTCATATACCATTGTTGTGTAAATTAATCTTAGTTATTTATAGTACATGTATGATTTTATCAGATTTTATCTAGGCTTATTCTTACAGAAGTTTAGACATCTAAACGGATTAAGGTTATAAATAAACCTACAATATAAAGAAATAACCTTTAAAAAACAAGTCGATTTTCGTTTGGAGTTTTTAATATCTTTGAAAACGTTGATAATACATTTGCACAGAGATAATTTTTAAAAGATTTGCCTCCAGGAAAAGCTTTCTTGACCACAAATGATATAGATTTGGCCTCAAAAGGCACACGAGTGTTTAAAATCTTTTTGGGGTGAATAAAAAAGGGGGGTTCCAATTCGTAATCAATATCGAAATTAATCATAAAAAATAAAATTGATAAGATTTCATTGACTTTGATTTAAAAAATTCGTGAAGTTGGAACAGTTTATACGACGACGAAATTTGAAAAAAAAAAAAAAAAAAAAAAAACTTTCATGGAGATTTAATAGATACAAACTCACTCTATACAATAATAATCTAAACCATCGTTACATTACAAGAAAACTTTTTTTTTTTAATTTTTCTATTATTATTATCTATGGAAAACAAAATAAGGTGATCTGATTTAAAGAATTGCTATTTAATCCCCTAATTTAGGAATCGAGTGTTGAATAAAACTTTCATTTTGAAATTTAAAGGAATTTTGGCCAGTGAATGGCTTAAAACGATGGAGTTCTGGTCATCGAGAGACCGCAAAGATCCTAAAGATCAAATGCACTCAAAGGTTTACATGTTTAACCAGGGTTTGTTTGAAACCAAATGGCGATTGGTTCAGTTTGCTTGACGCCAAGCGTCAATTGGTCAGGCTTGTTTGGTACCAAGCGTCAATCGACAAAGCTTGTTTGATTCTTTGCGTCAATTTGCCAACTTAATGATAATACGAATCTGGGACCAATTTATATATTCGGTTTATTTGTCTCTGTATAGGGTAAAGGTGGTGTCTTGTTATTCAGGTAAATGTAATTCAAACGATTTCCCCCCTTTTTTCCCTTTTTTTTTTTTTTTAGGTATTTATAATTCTTTTTTTTTTTTTATTAATATTTACCACTTGTTATCTTCTGATCCATATTTTCTGCAGAGATGTTTTTTGGATAAAGTTAATACTGAACTTAAAAATGATGATGCTAATTTGTTGTTGACGAAATTGCTCTGTTTAGTCTTTAAAATCATCTTTTTTTTTACAATTCTGTTCAAATTTTATATTCTACGCAATCTGTTGGATATATTTTTAGTCGAATTTTTAAAATATATATATATATATTGACCTTAATTGTAAGCTGGAAATCGAACACAGAAACCATCAGACCAAGGATTTTTTCTCATGAAAAACAATTGAATTTAGTTAGTATCTGGTACACTAAGTTAATGTAGGTCTCTCCTTCACCGTACAGAACTTTGATATTATCGGGCTCGGCGTGCAGATTGCAAGCAACAGAAACCAAATGGTAAACTTTATTGGTAAAAATAAAGTACATGTATACGAGAAAATACCTATTTTAACACAATTTAAGCTGACAGAAAATTAACAAATCTTTATTGTTAAATTTTCCACAGATTAACTTTTATGTCTCCATTAGCACGACAAATGCTTATAAAATTATTCCTTTAACAGGAAAGAACAACATCAGATAACTAAGGACGCCAAAAGAATCTTGATCTCGAAGCAGTCGGGTGGCAAAATTTGGATCTCTTTGAGACAATCGGGAAAGTCAATCAATGCAAATAAGAGTTTATCAGGTTGTTCGATATAAACGTTTTTCTAAATAAAGCAGATGGATTGGAATGTTAACCTCTAAAAACAGATAACAGTATGGGTGAATCATTTTATTTTGTGAACAAGGGATTGTTCTGCGATGTCACGAGTTTGGCAAATAGCGTTCAATACCACAGGTTTTCTTGTAGGAATTTCTCAAATCAATCGAATTTTGATGAATTGATCTAAAACTTATATTGACGACATATTGGATGTCTGGTAAAAGTGCAAATCAGACAAGTGTAATGTATTGACTTCCTTCAAATAAAGAACAACAAATTAATTCCATGAAGGTGAAAAAACGTGCTACTTGAGAAAAAAAGAAGTTATTAGGAAATAAGCTATCTCATGGAAAGATTTACTGGTCGAACTTTAATCAGGTTGCGAGTTAAGATAGATTGATTAAACATCTGTAAGTTTTATTAAAACCACAAATTTAAAGAGGAGTTTTAATCGGCAGGTTGTTTGGCGTTTAAACGAGAAGTCGCTGTGGATTAACCGTTTAAGGTCAAATAGACAATTTTTACAGCAATAAATAAAAATGTGGTTTTTTAAAGCATGAATGAGTCATAAGGCGACTGTTATCAATGAAACTTTCTAACTAGGGTAGATTTGACTTTTTTTCGTCTCGATAACGCAGTATTGGGTTTTGCAGGGTTTAATAGATTAAACATATCATTTTCGTCGTTTTGAACTATGGCGCTAGTAATGCTGTAGATTTGATAGGCAATCGAGATCAATTCTATGCAACCATACAGGGCAGAGAAGACTAAATGTGTATCAAGCACTCTTAAATGGTAAACAGAGTGTTTTAGTATGGCTTAGAACGGTCTTCTGTAAAGATCGCAGTTTTTCACATTGACCTGCAAAATGAACAGGTGTTACCTTTTTAAGAATATACCAGAAAAATAAAATGCTTGGATGAAAACGTGGCGATCGTGTCATTCATCCTTTTGGTCATAAAGATAAGCAATTAAGTTTTGTAAACTCTTTTAAATGTTGAAAAATAATTTGAAAATAAATGGAAATAAAAGTGTTAGGCATAGCGTGCCTTTGAAGTTATTCTTTTTTGAAGTAGGTCAAGCCATCTACGGACCTATCCTATGCCTAGGAACAACAGCATTGTCTCGGTTTGTTATACAGAGATTCATAAAAATAAGAGGATCACTACTGATGCCATGCTGATGGATCACTGATGTGTAAAATCATTAAGACTTGCCATAGAGTTCTTAAGTACTAAAATGTAAATGTGTAAACTGCCCCAACGCCTGTAGTACGCCACCATACAGCAACAGAAAACGTCTGTCGGCCAATCGAGATAGAAATTCTTTTTAGGTTCTATTTAGAATTTCCACTTATTTTTATTCCTCTCACCTTCCTCCAAAATAACAATGCAGTGCACATAAAAAAAAGAGTTTGTGTGAATTTGCTGTTTTCCAAACGAGGGACAATTTGCAATTGAAAAGGATACGATTTGCACACATGATGCCGAATTTAAACACAAAAGTTGTAAAAAAGGGGAGAAGGTGCTCTCATTTTTAACGAGATACAACATTGGTCCAATGTATGGAGCAAAAGTTATCTACGGGACGCTCTTGTATAAGGGTTTTATTATGTTACTGCATGCTGGATTAGTTGCTTTGAGTGAAATGCTAATATGGTGTACTCTTTCAACACCTTGGTGCCATGCGTGGTTAGCTATCAAACCGACAACCTATCAGAAAATATCAACCCGTCTCCAAAATCTCTCACCAATGCGGTCCCTCCCAACATAACAGACCATTGTAATCAATCTAATTTTGGAAAATATGACCATTTCCTAAATTTGCAACTTGGTGGAATTGCTAATATATAATTTACGTAGACCTCATATGAAAGTTGCTTCCTCTCTAAGATATAACTACTACGATACTTCTCAAAACAGCCAAGATCGCCACAAACTTTATTCACACAGTCGTACTAACCTAAAAACGGAAGAAAACCGCGCGAGTGCTGGGTCCGGTATGTTCTATGACTTACTGACTATCGTTTATGATGAGGCATTATATCATTGCTATCTGATGAATGAGATCTTGTACATCTGAATGAAAACAAGGTAAAGGGGCACAGTGATAGCTCTAGAACGTCCACGAACCCCTTTTTATTTATTTCTTCACATAAAATACATTTTCAACGTAGCATTTACATTATGCAAATTTACAGCGATATCAATCATTTTTTTCTACTTATTAATTGCTTCAATGCACATTCACCGATCGTTTCAGAGAATCAGATGCTATTTGGACTCCATGTTTGTGCGTATGTATGTGTGTTTTAGTTCCAATGTTCATTGCTCAGGGTATCTTTTCATAATCTTTGGTCGTTCTGCATTTCTTTCCTAGGAGAGTGGATGACTTTGGCTCAGCTAACTACTGATTTTTATTCAGAGCCCGTTATTAAAACCCCACAAACAATGCACCAGTCGCAAGAGGTTTTCATTTGCCTAATCTTATAAATTGAATTATAAATAAAGTTAAGTAAACATTCGATATTTAACTTAAATAAATCCTGGAGTGCAAAACATATTATTATATCCCAACTGCACTCCGGCTAACTTCTTACCTGCATTTGGGTAAATTTGTTTGAAGTAAGTCTCCATTTTGTGACTGTCCGAAGAGTTCATTGATTTATGATCCATATTATTTTCCTTGTTTGATAAATCAGAAAAACTAAGTATGCATTTAAAAACACTTACAAATGCACAAATCACAAATACTAAAGTGTCAGATCGCAGTATGCGCATGGTGCATGGGATAAAAGAGTTACCTGCATTTAACCTCACATTGGTATTATTTCACATTATATATCCAAAAGATCTTTTAAATGAACCGAGCAGAATTTTTTCATACATTTTCTCCACTTCGATTATCCCAATAAAATTCATTTCCCTTCTTTAGTATCATGCTTGTATTTCGCACACCGCTTTTTTATCGTATGCTTATACTTTATAAGCCACCGAAGAGACCCAATTTGGGGGCGGAGCTAGGATGTCAATCATGCCATAACAGGATTGTCAATGAATTCGCTTTACGATAAAAATCACAGTTTAAGAGGAATACAAAGCTATATTGTTGTGTTTTTTAAAGATCGCATAATAAATATTGAATTTTCCTTATACATACGATAATTGTTAAAGGTTCCTCAATAGAACGTATGAAAACAGCAATGGTCTTGACGATTCGGGAGTATAAAATGTCGCACATTTTACGATATTTTCGCTGGGTACATATACACGCAGTGGTGATTTCTTATCAAACGAATATTTATTTAATTGAATGTATCTCGGCCAAATAAAGGTTTGTTTGTTTGTTGTTCAAGATTTTATAAACTGGGGAAGATAACAAAAGCTTTTGTTTAATTTTTTTTATTCCTTTTTTTAAATTTTATTATTATGATTTTTTTTTTTAAATAAAACCTTTTTGTTAACTTCGAATGTTACGAAAATATATGATTTCAATTCAGATAATTGACTCTTCAATATACAGTATATTCATATTCTTGATTGACTTAATTAACCACCTGATTAATGATCGCGACATTTTTGCTGAATTTACAAAACACAATGTCAATTGTGACCGTGTATCAAATAGGTTATAAAAATCGACATTGATTTTCGGTACGTAGATTTGTTTCTTTCTTTTTCTGTCAACATAAGAGGACTTTAAAGAAATAGTCAAACCATACGTATTGTTTAATCCTCTGTTTCTATTGAGGGTTTTTTCGTGATTTAGACACACCCATGTGCTCCTTATCCATTTGACTGCAATTTAACACCATAAGAATTTCTTATGTAACGGTTTTAATACTAGGATCATTGTTTTTGTCACCTGCCAAATCGGGAGACACCTGGTTTACTGCTTCTGCTCTGCAACTAAAAACCATGAAAACATGCGCTTTGTGCACAACTTAACCCAATTTGCCTTGTTTAATGCCTGGGAAAATTTAAACGCAAATGTTTTTCTTTTCATATGCCATATGCTTACCTGACTTGCAGTAAAAAATGAGGGAATATTATGGGGTGTAAAAAGAAAGAAATAAGCAGAAAAAAAAGAGAAAAAAAACGCTCAATAGAATATTTTTACCCCTTCACCTGGTTCAAATTTCTGAGGTGGCAAATTAAAGTTGCATGCTTATTAAATGCAAATTAAGTTTTGTTACGAATCATATGAGAGGAATTAATATTCGCTTTAAATAATTCGCGAAATCAAGAGTCTCGCTTTTTATTTAGTTTAATACAGAATTAAAAAAAAAATGAAAAGTAGGTGCCCTGCAAACCAAAACTGATTCAGTCATGTTGAAATGTGAATAATTTATTTCTATTGAAAATATTTATTCATTTCTTAAATCTTTTTTCTTTTAATTAGTTTTATTAGTTTATTCATTCTTGAGTAGGGGACTTAATGCAGACATCCAACCGTTTTCTCAGTACAAAGGATTATAAAATATTTTGATATATTTCAGTATTTATTAAGGATAACGCATTTCTACTTAATGTTCTGAACGATCTTCTTTAATTATTTTCTCGGTTAAAGCTGTATGGTCCAATCCTTTTGCTCTCAGAAAATTTGGATTTATCTCCGAAATTATTCATTTGCAGAGTAAAAGGTACTTACTTTCTAAAAATTACTCCCTCTATTCGCCTTGCTTTGAAGACGGTATACAGAGTTGACGTATTTTACTGTCTTCCGTACTATACACTTTCTCTCTTTTGTGTTTGGTAGAAATTGCATGAGGTGAAATTTTTCAATTATTTCATTGGTTGAAATGCTGTTCTAGGCAAGGGAGATAATTATCTGGCGTGCTAAATTTCGTACGACTTAACAATAAGGTAAATCACTCCCTCTATTCGCCTCTGTACCGAAGAGAAAGAAAGTTCAAGTTCAAAAATAAGTATTATGGTTTCACAATATGTATTTACAAAGACTGCTGATGTGTTCCAATCTAAACATGAGATTCCGCTAGTGCATCTTAAAAATGTGACCAATCCGCTGATTTTGATGGAATCGAGCCGCAAGATGAGGAGTAGCGGTCAAATAGTCTACTCAATTGAATATTAATTATAAACAAAATGGCGTGACGAATTATAGTTTTATAACCGTCTTCCTTGGAAGACGGTATACAGAGTTGAAATATTTTACTGTCTTCGTACTGTACACTTCCTCTGTTTTCTGATTGGTAGAATTTGCATGATGTGAAAATTTTCAATTATTTCATCGGTTGAAATGTTGTATAAGGCAAGGGAGATGCTTTTCTGGTATGCTAATTTTCGTAAGACTTAACAATTTTTCAAGATTTTTCAATATTAAAAAAAATCGACAGAACGAACAGAGGAAACTTTTCCTTTGTTTTGCGCTGTCTTTCACATGGTAGGGCTAATGTCTGTAAAAAGTTTATGAAAACATACAACGACAAGAAATGTTCAAGAATAATACGTGCCCGTTAGGTGTAGGTCAGTTTACTGTTTAAGGTTGTTGCTAAAGACGGCAAAGCTTTTTGAAAAAGCTATACTTGTCCAGAAAACGAAATCATTTGTACCGCGTCATACTTTCCAATGGTCACGTGATCGTTCTCGAAAGATCTTTACGCTAAAGAGTATCGGATGGTTTGCCATTTGGCCATTTTGTAAACAGGTCATGGATATAATATCCATGTGTAAAAAAAAAAATACTGAACACATGTAAACCATACAACTGAAACATATGTGGCATATTATGCTATCGCAAAATAAATACAATTTGCAAAATATAAGGAAATCACAGTCCTCTTGGTACATTGACAAACAGGGAATGTCTTACCAGTGCGAGCCAATTTCTGATGTCCGCATGCGCATTGAAATATATTGAAAACATACAGGCAAATGCATATAAGTCAGCTAATTATGTTTTGAGATCGAATTGAAATGCCATAGTTGTGTCATTTAAAGCAACGTGATTTTTGTGATTCACTTACATTACAGTCTTTAACGTAGCAAAATACATGTATTTCATAGAAGATGCGTCTCCGAAGCAATGTGTCCCACGAGGACAATTTTTTACGGTCATTCGTTCATGTTTCACTAATGTTTTAGTTCTAAAAAGTGTTGATAATGTTTTGACATGAAGCATCATCTCGACATAAAATGAAATCTCTGTGACATATAAATGTTAAAAAATTACAGACACGATAACAGTCGTGGTGAGAGAGAGATTATCAATAACAATAAACAATCTATCCTTGGTTATGTTTAATCACCTCATCATTATCATTCTGTTATTTTTAATGTTGGAAACCAATGATTTATTAAGAAAAATATTCAAAAATTATATTCTTTTCAGGATTGCAGGGATGCAAAGATTTTAACGGTTTTGTTAGCTTTAGCCATAGATATACGTTTACTGATACCCAGGACTGAGCTTTCATAACGAGGCTGCAGAATAGTTCAAAAAAGTTGAAATGACCATCTTCTTTGTTGATTTTCTGGAATCCAAGGAGCCTCAACGTACGCAGATTTTGTACTCTATGGACCAAGACTTTAACGAGTGAATTATAAACAGTTCTCCAGAGCATGCGCTGTAAAGGGGACATATCAGGAGTTGTTGTTATATACATGTAGAACAAATACTATATAAGATAAATTTATTAAAACAATCACGTCTATTTTAGTTTGAACTATTTTGAAAATTATTACGAAAAAGAAATTTTGCAAAGTTCATCATAGAGGGATATTGAAAGAGTGTTACATTGATTGAGAATTTTCTTTGCAGACATGATTGCGGTTTTTTATGAACTTACCGACCGATTTTTATTCTAGTTTAAAACGTGAAGGCATTCAATATCCAAAGAAAATTCATAAAGATAGTGATCAATCAATGCTGGTATTGTGTACTGCCCTTCTTTACTTTCTTCCTATATTAATTAGAACATATTTAGCGTTTTATCACATGCTTCTGATCTTTGACATGCTTCCAATCTTAAATTTCCTCATATTTAATTATCCAAATGATGAAGATATCTTAGATTAAAATGAAAATTTATATATAAAAAGTAAATGAGAGTGAGATTCGGGAAGTTATCGGCGTTAAACCTTTTTTTTTCTTCTTGAACTTTTCTCGGCTTGATCCAAACACGAGATTCAATGTCGTACATAATTTATTACTTCGTACCAATATAATTGAAGTCAGTCAAAAAATAGGTCAACTCGATCTAAGAATGAACATAGTCTTCATTCATGTATTTGACGGCTAATTTTTATAGTAAGGTCCTTTATTCATTAGACCCTGAAGACATTTAAATATTACGTATTGTTTATTCAAATATGGAAAAAGAAATGTTTAATAGGCTGTAAAGAGGCTTTGATACATACCATTAATCATTCATTCACTAAATGGAAGTGTAGATATCCATCAAGTTTTTTTTTTACAAACTTGAATATGATAAAAATCTGTATTTAAGTTTTCACTTTTCTAATCCTTCAGTTTTTTGGGGGTTTTTTTCGGTATTGCGAGGACCAATTTTTTGAATACTTAGAACCAGTGAAAAAATTAAGAATTGCATGTGCAATTAATTTTTTTAAAGGAAATTATTTAAAAATATTATTTCACTTTATATAGTCATTTTCATTAACCCAGCGTTTATTTCTGGAATCATTAGTGGTAATCGAAAATTAAATTTTCAATCTATTTATAGAAGAAGAAAAAAGGACCGGAAGTTCTGCATCCATCGTCTAAAATAAATTATGGATAATTGTTGTGGATAATACCAACCAAAAAAATTTAATTTAGTTTTGCCTAAAAACTAAAAAGGGCGTAATTGTAACTGATTCTACTTTTCATCAGAAGAAATTATTTTCAGCGCTTAAATCACAAATGTCAGCATAAAAATTTTACATGTCACTTTTAAAACATATGTTTCATTAAGTTCGTGCTATTTAAGGGGATGATTCAGTATCGATAACCCCAATTAGAACTGTA